AGATTCCAGGGCTTCCTCTCTCCAAGCCCCTGCTCTGTATCTTGCAGCTGTGACTGCTTTCAGAAAACCCAAGATGAGATGATTTAACTGAAAGCTGGGAATATGGTGGTCAGACACAGAACAAAGCTCTCTTGTGTCTTAGCCCATACTAAGGGGGTTGCTTGTTGCTGCATAACTGCCCCTCCTCCCCACAAAACCTGGTCACACACTCCCACTCCATGAAATGTCTTCAAATTAGTCTCTGTTCCTTGCAACTCTGAGCTTGGGACAGAATCCATAAATGTCAGCTGCCACCATTGTTCTATGATACACTGAGTTTAAAGGTAAATTTTCGTTTTTACTGGAGTTTTTTAATTAACCAGAACTTGCGTCCAAAGGGTTGACTGGATTTGCTTTCCAGTGTAAGAGAAGGTTAGGCCAGGGCTGGGCCACCCATTGGTTTGCCGGTCTCCCCCCTTGGAATCCACCACAGTGTGATTCTGGTCTGAACAATAAGCAAGTCTTGGGGAGCATAGCTGGGCCCGGGGCTCTGACTGACCTGGCAGGCCTGTGCAGATAGGTCCCCAGGGCTACAGGAGGACAGGAGCCAAGCCTCTGAGGCCTTCCCACACTCAGTTCCCTGGCTCTGCATCCCGCTCATCCTGCCTGGCCCCCACCCCACAGCCCACATTGGTGCAGCCAGTCTGACCCTCTTTCCTCTGGTTTTTCTGTGTGTAGGACCCTCCCCTGCCCCTTCCATCCCCCACACACCTTTGGCTCAGCCAGGCAGCCACAGTTGTCCAGCTCTGCCTGAAAGCAAAGCCTGGGCCAGCTCTACTCCTAGTCACAACCCACGCCTTCCTCCATCTGCCCTCGACAGCACTCCTTAACTTTTTGTGTGTACCTTTAAGAAGCTGGTAAAAGTTATGCACCAGCTGCCCGGGAAAGTGAACTTGATGGGCTGGCATTGTCAGTAGGCAGTTTCCTGGGATCCTGAAGGCTGTCTGCAGGTCCTGGATTAAGGAAGCCTATCTGGGAAGAACTTGGCCCTTGCAACCCCCATGGGCTTACTTCTTAATGCTTGCATCCTGGTTCCTTAACCTCCACCATCATCAACCTCTACCAGCCAATGCCCCAAATTTCTTTATGAATAATAATAGCTGTTACATACTGAACATTTACTATATGTTAGATACTATGGCAAATCCATTATACATATTAATACATTTATCCCTCACAGGTTGGGATAATTAAAATCACACCCATTTTACAGATGAGGAAATTGAGGCACCAAGAGGTTACGGAAATTTCCCAAAGTCTCATGGCAGAAGAAAGGTGCTGTCCTCCCTACATAGCAGCTGTTTTGTCACCTTTAGTGTAATCTTTGGTCTCCCTCAAGGCTGTCAGTGTTTGGACACAAAATGAAATGGACTCAAAGAGCCAAAGGTGAACTGCTCCAGACAAGTGACCACTGGTGACTTCTGAAGACTCCAAGTCTTTGTGCAGGCACTTTCTGCTGCCTTAAACCTATCTTTTATACTGTTCCTGCTGAATTCATTCATCTGTCTGGCCTTGATGCTGCTTCCTCCAAGCAGCTGTGTCCAAGAGTAAATTGAATGCCCTTGCTCCCAACTCCACATGAAGTCGTAGCCCCCAGAATTTTCCCATCCAAGTCCTTATCACTCTGTACTGCAACTGCCCATCTACATGATTGCCTCCTTTTCAGACTGGAAGCTCCCAGTGGGCAAAGATTATTAAAGTCTTACTTTAATTTTTTTTCAATTATTTAAAAAAATTAACCATTTTATTTTTTAGTGAAGTATTACATACACTCAGTAAAGGGCACAAACAACAAATATATAGCTCATTGAACTTTTATTTATGAACATAGCCATGTAACCACTGCTTAGATCAAGATATAAAACATGTGTGCAGTAGTACCTAGGACCCCACCCCCCCCCACCCCCCACCCTGGCCAGAGGGGTCTGATTGCTCTCACCACAGTTTTTGTCTTTTCTTTCTTTTTTTAAATACATTTTTAATATTTATTTATTTTTGGCTGTGGTAGGTCTTCATTGCTGCTTGTAGGCTTTCTCTAGTTATGGTGCACTGGCTTAGTTGCTCCACAGCTTGTGGGATCTTAGTTCCCCGACCACGGGCTAAACCCATGTCCCCTGCATTGGCAGGCAGATTATTAACTACTGAGCCACCAGGGAAGTCCTGGTGGTATTCTTTGCTATAGGAGTAGAAATTACTACAGCCACTAAGGAAAACTGTCTTGTCTATCATTATTAACAACTATCATCTACTGGGTATTTACTATGTACCAGGCACTGTACTCAGCAATTCATCTGCATTATTTCACTTAATTCTTACAGTGACCCTAAGAAGTAGATAGTGCCATCTGTGAAATAAGACAATCATGATATCAATATCATAGGATTATTGAGAAGTTTAGTTGAGATAACACTTTGAAGTATTTAGCACAAAGCTGTTATTTTTGAAATGTTTGTGATACCCATTTTTGTTACTACCTAAGGGCAGAAAGCTGGGAATTTAGGAACCTGGGTTCCATGCCTACCTAAGCCAATCTGAGCAAGACATTTCAGCAGTCTTGACCTCAGAGACCCTGGAAGGTCAAGAATCTGCTAGCAGGGACCTCTGAGGATGACACAAACAGTGTCCTCCAGTAAGATTCAGGCTCTAACCTCAAAGACAATCATGGAGAGAGGAGGCCCAAGACTGAGACTGTAAATCAAGAAGGGCCTTGAAAGTGTCTAGGAGCCCTCTGCTATATGCCTTTCCTAGAAGTTTAGTACAGTGGGTACTTTCAAGTGATGATAGTTCAATACTTGTCTCCTTAGCCTGTAAACTCCACAAGGGCTTGGTCATCATGTTTTTCAAGCATTCCTTCACAAATAAGATTGCAGTGCCTCCCTTCCTCCAGGCACTATGCCAAGAGCTGGGGGATACAGCAGTGAACAAGACAGACAAGGCAGGGAGAAGAGAACCAAACAAGGACAAGAGACATATGGCGGCAAGTGCTGTGAGGGAGCCACAGCAGGGCAATGCGGTGGAGAGGAACTCCTGGGGAAGACTTGGAAATTCTCAGGAAAGATGTAGCTGGAAGGGGCCGGAGCTACGGACAACAAATTCCAAGGTCCTGAGATGAGAAAGGACAGAGGCTGGCCGGAGGAGCTCTAATGGGAGGCAGTTGAAGGAAAGGTCTGAGAGGGGGTGAGGGTAGGTCTACGTGGAGTCCTCTAGGGCATGGAGTGTGGATTTGATTTTACGACCTGCTGAAGTAAATACTTAAGGTAAAGAGGGCTGCATGGAATCCAAGCATCAAAAAGGTCTGATGCTCTTCTGATGCTCAGGGGAAAATCTGTGGCAAAGGGCACACATGGAGGGTAAGGTGCTAGACTATTAGCTGAATGAACACACGCACGCATGGACAGATGGATGGACGCACGTCCAGGAGTAACAGCTGTTCCACAGGCGGCCCCCGATCTGGCGGCCTGAGGCCCTGGTTCTAGGCTCTGTGACCATGCGCTGTGACCTTGGGCACATCCCACCCTGACTCAGGGCCCGGAACCCTGCGTCTCGGGGGCGGGGGAAACGTGCGAGGAGAGACAGTGCGCGCGCGCTGCAGGCCTACGGACGTCAGGTCTAGTGGCCGGACCCCTCAGTCGGGGCCCGAAGCCTCGCCGCCCGCCGTGTTTACATTCCACCAGCGCCGGCCACGCGGCTTTTTGCCGCCCCAGCGCCGCTCGGCTCCGCCCCCAGAGCCCCGCGACCCGCCCCTCCGCCGCACTCGCGCCAGGCCGCCCCCGCGTCCCGCCCTGCGCAGCCCCGCCCCACCGCGCGCGCCGGCCAGCCCCCGCGTCCCGCCCCGCGCGGGCTCCGCAGCTCGGGCGGCGCAGGCCCCGCCACGGCCCCAGGGCCCCTCCCCTCCGGCGCGCAGGCCCTGTCACTTAGCCCCGCCTCGCCCCCGGCGGGCCCGAGCGCCTGGGCGGGCCTTCGCCGCGCAGGGCGGTCCTGAGGGCGGTGGCTGGGCGGGGCCGGGCCCTCTGGCCGCCGCTGAGGGGCTCCGAGCCGGCCGGGGCGGAGCGGAGGGTGGCGGGAGGGCGCGAGGGCGGTCCGGGGGCCGGTTCCGCGCGCTGGGATTTTTAAATGTCCCGCTCTTAGCCGGGCGCAGGAGCAGCCGGCTCGGCCGCCAGCGCGGTGTAGGGGGCAGGCCCGGATCCCGCCACCGCCGCGCGCTCGGCCCGCCGCCGTCTCCCGCCTCCCGGCTTCCCGCTCGCCTCTGCCTCCTGCCTCCGGCCTCGGCTCGTGCCGCCTGCCTGCCTGCCTGCCGCAGAGACGGCTTCGGGTGAGGACCCTGCCGCGAGCTGCCGGACTGCGCGGCGGGCGAGAACTCCTGGAGCGCCCGGGTCGGGTCGGGCCGGGCCCGGGTGGGGGTGGGGCGAGGCCGGGTCGCCGGGTCCCCGGAGGCGTCAGCGCGGGGTGCCCCGGTAGGGCGACTCAGAAGCGGGCTACGGGGAGGTGTTGAGGGGAAGACTGAGGCAGCTGGGGTCCCCAGGGAGGCGATGGGCCGGCGAGAGCTTCATGGGGCGTTGAGCCCCCCCACCCCACCCTGGGTTCCGACCCGGCGTCGCGGGCCGCTGGTGGCGCCGCGGGTGACAGGCCACCCCGGGCCCATCGGCCATTTTCCCGACCGGCCCGGGAGGCTCCCGCCGCCGCCGCCGCCCGCGCGGGAGGGGGAGGGGTGCTCGGGACAGGCCGGCGGGCCCTGGACCCCTCTGCCTGCCGTCCTCACCCCACTGCCGTTTCGTGCCCCCAGGCTTGAGGTCTGATCCTGCGCCCAGCGCCATGCCGAGGGAAAAGGAGAGGTGAGTGGCCTGGCCGCTGCGGGAAAGGGGAAGGTGTGCAGTGGTGGGGGAGGGGTGGGCCGAGATTTGGGTAGAACTCTTACCTCGGTGCCATCCTGGTTTTGCAGGGATGCGAAGGAACCGGACACCATGAAAGAGGAAAGTGGCACCGATGTCTCTGTTCGCTCCAGGAAAAGAAAGGCAAATGTAGCCGTTGTGAGTACAAAGGAGACAGGTGGGGGAGGATACCCCCCCATCTTACCTGGGTACCAGAATGGATTCTGCCCACGTATTTGTTAATAAGGGATCAAGGGGGGAGCGTTTGGCAGAAATGGTGATCATAACCTTACTAACTTTCTTTTTCTTCTCTGTGTCTGTGTTTTTGTCTTTGGTCTGTTTGGTGTGTTTCCTTGGGGTGTGGGGTTTGTTTTATGTTAGTTTTTGCAGGATCCAGATGAAGAAATTGCCAAAATTGACAGGACTGTGAGAAGCCAGTGTGGCAGTCAGGTAGGTACATTTTCTGATTGGGTCGAAGTTGAGGCTCCCCTTGTTCGGGGTCAAATGGAGTCTCATACTTGCTTGCCTCCTGATGAAGGCTTTTTCTCTAACTATGGCCACAGCTCATCTAACTGAGCCCTGTGCCTGTCAGTGGGCACTGACCTCTGCCAGTCTTGGGATTCCAGGAAGGGCTGTGTTCCTGACTGACATCCCTGAGATTACAAATATGCGCTGATGTCTGGAAGAACCAGAATGAACCTCACATAACTCAGCCCTCTCCTTTTGCCCTTGAGGAAACTGAGATTCAGTTAGAGGAGGAAAGTAACCCAGAGTCCTGTGCAAGCCAGGGGCGGAGTCTGTCCTATAGCCTAGGCTGTAGGCTAGTGAATGTGGGAGGGCTCTGGACACAGAGCTCTTTGGGTAACTGTGATGATGGGGGTTTGTGTGTGCTCATAAGCGACTCCCCCCGCCCCATCCACACTTGTGTTTATTTCCTCATGGTGCTAAAGGACTTCCCTTCCCTGCTCCCACCACCTTTAGGTCAGGTTTCAAACTTTTTCCCCCTTTCTGATAGTTCTTCTAGCCTCTTCAGCAATTACTTACAGTGATAACTGCTGCCTGGAGCTTGATCAGACCTCCACCAGAGTATTAGTAGGACATTCTGTGTAATGATATGTGCATCTCAACACATTTTTCAAATTGACTAGTCAGTCCATTTCTCTTGCCCCTCCTTCATGGAGTTCCCGCCATATTTCTTGCATGTTCATGGTAGCATCATAATATCAGAAGTCCCTAGCAGAAAAAGCTTGTATTATCTCTCTGGCTCCAGAAATGGCTGGAGACTGTAGTTATGGCCCCAACAGGGGAAGCAGTCTATCTCCAAACTAACTGATTAGGCCTTCTGACATTATAATAGATAAAAATTGAGCAGGAATAGTATTTGAGCCAAGGAAAGTGGTTCTGATGAGGTTAGCAGTGGCAGCACATCACTTTGTAGGACAGTGAGCAACAGCCATAGCAGCTGGATCTGGAAGAGTGAAGGTCTTCAAAGCCATGGGATACATGGTAAAGCTGTTGTTACTGCACACAAGACCCTAGTAATTAGCATTTCTGGGCAGATTCCACTTAATATTGAACAACAGCTTGATGATTTCTTTGCTGTATTGGAAGAAGAGATACTTTGTTTTAGGAAAAGAAATAAGACAGTGCATTTCAAGTTCTTTCCTTTTTTTTTTTTCTTATTTTCTCCCTGTAAAGACTTCAAACCAAGCAAGTTAATTTTTGTGGGTCTCTACTAAAATGAATCTCAACTTTGTGAAATTCAAGATTGGTTGTCTTCCCAGCTGTGTTTTGAATTGGAATTTTTAACTGAGGGTGAAGCAAAGCTGTCCCTGTTGACTTCTTGGGATTTTAGAGTAGTTTCGGTTCCAGAGATAACTGGAGCAGAGCCTAGGGTGCCTAAGACAGGGCTTGGGCCCTGTCCCTGGACTGCAGAGAGCTGATCGATGTGATATGTGAATAGCCATACTATTTCCCACTAGAAGGCGTTTTCATGGTTCAGAGATTAATGACAACAGGTTTCTACACATTGTCTAAAGTAGATAGCTTGAAAATTACCCATCATTTATGAAGCAGTCAGTGTCGTATGTTATTTCTCTGTAGATTCATGAAGCTAGAATTGTGGGGTAACAACCTTTTTGCCAGTTAATTACACAGAATTTTTCTGTGGAGTTATCATAGTTCAGCCCTGTTCAGTAGCCCTGTGCTACTTGTAGCCATCATGCTGAACTCTGTGATACTGCTGCATCAAGACCACATGGAACCTTTGATTCTTACCTTAGGTTTTTCCCAATGAAAATAATGCTCTTTTGTCTAAAGTCTATTTAACATATCCATTCTGTTCAATTTTTTGCATGAGACCCAACTTGTTTATTGAAATGGAGTCCTGGAATTTTAGTTACTTCTCAGAACATAATTTTGCATAAGGTAGTTTCATTCTTCATTAAAAGTGGCATAAAGAGTAAGAGGTGGTTAGAAATAATCAAAATTGGTCTCTTGCTTTTATCCCCTTCCTTCCTAAAGTCAGATTGATCTTGCTTTCTTTGAGACGTGGTATACATTCAAGTTAAAGAATATAGACTTCATTATTCTGCTTCATACAGCGGTCAAAGGGCAACTTTGGGGACCATTTGTCTGCTTGCAGGTTGGGAACTGTTACCATTTTATCTCCAAAAGTCTGTTCTCAACTATTTCAACCATTTGGCTGTAGAGGGTGACACCCAGCTTCTGCTTTCAAAACTAGAATTCATTCTTGAATGAATACAACTTAAAGCAGTTGTAACATGACCCTTTTGAGTCAAGGAAATGATACCAGCACATGATACTGGAACTGGAAGAGGATGTTGCCCTTCTCCAACAGCTGTTGGCAAGAGCTATCATGGTTAATTTGCATGCCCAATTCTTTGCACATTGGATGGAGGAGAGCTTTATCCTACTTTGCTCTTCTCAGTACCCTGAAAGTGCTCTGGCTTCCTCTAAAAGTGGCCGGTGTGCTGTGATAGCCACCCTGTCCCATATCTTCCAAGCAGCACTTGGAGAGCCCAAGTTTCCATGTTCATTTATAGTCCTCTTGGTTGTCTCTTTTCCAGTCAACATTAATGATCTCTCTGCTTTAAAAAAAATTGCTAAGAGTCTCAGACCTTTAACAGAGCGTCCATGCTTGCAGGATTGTTAATATGCCATATCTTCAATAAATTCACTATTTTATAATTTTAAAAAACAATCACAGTTATTTAGAGTAAGATGATAAAAGAGTAGCTTTAAAAGGAAAAAACTTTAAATGGCAAAATGACAATTTTCCAAATATTAAAAATTGCATTAAATATCTGAACTTTTAAAAGAAGCATTGTTTGGGTTCTAATGATGGTTTAGCATTTATTACTATACAAGGCTTTGGCGGGGGGGGTGGTTTCAAAGGTCTTCAGGAATATCTAGGCTTTATAGACTTCTTAGTAAATCCTGTGACTGTTGCTTGCTGTGGTTTTAAGTAAGCAGATACTCCTTTTTTTCCATTTGAATTAAGGAAAACGAAAGGTCCTCATTATGTAATATATTTGGCTTGACCTGCAACCAAAGGAAGATGTCACATTTGGTGGGTTTTTATTAAATGAGGAGACTAAATATAGATGGCAGTCAGTTTTATACTTGTGGTTGTGGAGTGCTTATGTGAATACTTTTATTGGAAATTCTGTCTTTCACCTTTAAGACATTTTATTAGGTTAGTTGTACTTGTTAAAAAACCCAAGTCTTTGAATTGTGACCAAATCTCACAATACCCTTTTGGAGCCATGCTTAGTGTCTTACTGAACTTACGAGTAGATTTTCTTTTTTGGTAATGTAAGAGCTGTTTGCATTTTGTCTTACCCTTCCTGTGCCCTAATGCACCTCATAGGAGGATGATGATATGGAGAATAAAATGCTACTGACTAGTTTTCTTAGGTTCTTATTGCATAGACTCCTGAGAAAATGAAAGCTTGGAGTCATTAATTTGTCTTCTATGCTATCTCCATCTTAGTTTAGGCCGGAATATTGATTTAGGCCTAGAGATTGCTCTAGGTGTGTGAAGACATTTTTTTGTTTTACTGGCTGTTTTACAAATCAATGAATGTAAAAACAGCTGGTTTACATCAAACATTTTTTAACATGTCTTTATTTTACAGCCTTGGGACAGTAATACAGCCTGTGAAAACCCCTGCTCCCTGATTCCCACACCTGACAAAGAAGAGGATGAACTTCTGTACCCACACGCTGCGTACAGGCCTCAGAGGTGCACGCCATCGTCATCCAGAGTGTCACCACTGCCTGTGCTGAAGTAAGCTGACCACCGAGTGCCTCCTGGGTCTCTTGCTCCCTGTGTGCACTTCCGCTTCGCTAGTTGGATGCACGCTGACTCCTGTCTTTGGTGTCTTGTTTGGTTTTGTTTTTTGTAGCTGGGCAAATAGAGAGGAAGTATGGAAAATCATGTTAAACAAGGAAAAGACATACTTGCGGGACAAGCACCTTATGCAGCGGCACCCTCTTCTGCAGCCTAAAATGCGAGCAATTCTACTGGATTGGTTAATGGAGGTAGGTTGAGCCTTCTGGTTAACTAGAAGCATTGACCATTTCTAGATTCTTTTGTGATGTTGTAATCTCTTCATGTGTTTGATTCCATTGACACATTCTGTGTCTCTGTGGTACATATACTACAGTGGTTTAACTTTTTTGCTTCCTTAAAAGAATTTCTGAAGTCTCTTTATCCCTTAGACGTTTTTAAGTTGGCATCTGATTTTTTTTCTCAAAGTTTAAGTAGTTGCAAAGGTTGTATTTTCCAACTAATTATAAATATTGGTATTTGATCTTTGTTAATTAAATTGCTTTTTAAGTGTACACAGTAGAATGTGTAACAGCTATTTGATAGCTTACTATCAAATGTTTTAAAAATATATGAACAAATTTATCTTTAACAGTCAGAAATTTTATATTGTTTCATTTTAACTCCTTGGGACCCATTTCTCTTTCCCCACAGTTTATCCTAACAAAATATATTGTTCAAATCTTCTGTTGATCACACTCTTATACTTCACATTATCATATAAAAATTGATCAAATAACAAGATTATAAGTTATAGTAAATAATTGTTAAATATAAGAAGTTATGTTGTATAGGCAGTGCACTTCTTTCTGGGAGGAAGTGTGGGTGTCTCAATAGTGGCTTGATTAAGGGACATTTCTTGGACACCACTTCCCTTGTGGCTCAGATGGTAGAGAATCCTTCTGCAATGCAGAAGATCCAGGTTCCATCCTTGGATTGGGAGGATCCCCTGGAAAAGGGAATGGCAATCCACTCCAGTGTTCTTGCCTGGAGAATTCCATGGACAGAGGAGCCTAGCAGGCTACAGTCCCTGGGGTTGCAAAGAGTCAGACACGACTGAGTGACTAACAAAAATACCTGGACACCTCTGTAAACCTTGGGTGGGTGCAAAATGAGCTTTCTTCTGTGAGTGGAAGGGTATCTTAGGCAGATCCATTTTATGAAAGTATACATGGAAGTTGAGTCTACGTATTCCCTAAAAACAAACTGTGCCATGTACCCTTCAGAAAGTTTGTATTGACAGGGGTATATGTGTACCCTAGTTGTGCTTGTCCTAGTGTCAAATCTCCTGCTGCCACTTACCATCTTTGTGCCTCAGTCAGGCAAGTCACTTAACTTGATTTTCTCATTGTAATGTTTTCTATTAGTATTTTCCTTACAGAGTTTGTGTGGATTAGAAATAGTGTATATGAAGTACAGCTTACATGTGTGTGTGCGTGCTAAGTCATGTCCAACTCTTTGCGACCCCCTTGACTGTAGTCTGCCAAGCTCCACTGTCCATGGGGTTCTGAGCAAGAATACTGGAATGGGTTGCCATTTTTTCCTCCAGGGGATCTTCCTGATCCAGGGATTGAACCCAAGTCTCCTGCACTGGCAGGCAGATTCTTTACCACTGAGCCACTCAGCCACAGATTCCACCACCTGGGAAACCTCTTGGCAGGGAAGATCCCCTGGAGAAGAAAATGGCAACCCACTCCAGTATACTTGCCTGGGAAATCCTGTGGATAGAAGAACCTGGCAGCCTACAGATCTCCTTTTTAGGGTTGCAAAGGAGTCAGATTTAGTGACCAAACAATAGCTTACATAGTAGGCCATGTAAGATATTACATAAAAACATCTTTTTTTCATTCTTAATTTGCTTTTCTTTATTGGTCCCTGAAAATGTCAACATAGAAAATGTACAAATGTACAAATTCTTTGGCAGGCATGCTTAAAACTATAGGCCTTACAGTTGTCCGTAGACCCACCATGGCACATAGCCCTCCTGGGCCTTTTGGAACTTTTTATAATTCCTTGAAGCATTAGATTGTAGTATGCTTTAATCTCTTAGGCTTCAACTCAAAAGATGTTGTGACTTAGTGGATCTGTTTTATATAATGCTATTGATGCAATTGATACTTCCTAAAGAAATGATTTCCCCTGGAAGTCAATCAAAAAAGTCATGTAATACTATTGAAAGGATAGAAAAGAATGATAATTTTTATGTCTGAAGTGGGACAAAACGTGAGTCAGCAGTTCACAGGCAGTCTTATCTGCAGTGATGTTAAATTTCCCAGCTCCCAGCCCATCCAAGAAGTGTGTAGCAAAAAGAAGTGCTTACACAGTGTGCCTGATGGTGAGCTGGGTAAAATAGGTCTGAAAGTTTGTTCCTTAGAGAACAGAAGCTCTGGTTTCACTTCTAATCCAATTGTAGTTGTGTTACTTAATAAAGACTGATACTAAACATGGTTCCACATGGACTTAGAAACTCTTTGATTATTGATGGAGTTTTCTAGTAATGTTCTGTTTGTTGTTTCCTCTGGTGCCTTTCCTACTTATTATAATCCTGTGAAGTGTACTTATTTGGGATATACTGTTTAGGAATAGCAGTTTTAAATGCACAATCAAACATTTGATGATAGTAATGAATTGAGGTCTAATATTTCTTTGGTCCTTTTCAACTTCATCATGTACACTATTTTTCCATATCTCACAGCAGTCCTTTGGGGTTAACACAGCAGGACTAATTTATACTGTCTCAATTTTATAATCAGTTTTCCTAAAGGGGAGCCTAGGATAGAACCTAGGTCTTTGAGTCTTTAATTTAATGCTTTCGAATAAAGCTTTTGCCTCCTGTGATTAGATTAACGGTGTTTTAGTGTTGTGGTCTTTAAATAAACCTATGTTCCAGCTTTCAAACTTTCATACTGATGATGTTTATTGTGAAGAAATATTGTAGTTCCTTCCTCACGTCATAATGAAACTTACAAAGGGGGATATATTTCTTTGAGAAAATTTTGTTTTTCCTTGAAATGCTGCTTTTACTGGACTGTGAATGTACCTTCTTTCTGCAGCCTGTGAGCTTTTGCTCTTATATTAGGTCACAGAACCCTTCATCCTGATCCTGAGTTCCAGTTTTTCATTGTGCATGTGCTTAGGGATAAACAAGGTAACCATCCTTTACGAAAAGCCAGCTTCTGTATCTTTGGTTTTATCCTTCACCAAAATCATGGCAAGTTTTTTTGTCTTTCTTTTTTTCCTCAAGTAACTATTCTAAAACTTACTATTTTTTCAGGTATGTGAAGTCTATAAACTTCACAGAGAGACATTTTACTTGGCACAGGATTTCTTTGATCGGTATATGGCAACACAACAAAATATTGTAAAAACACTTTTACAACTTATTGGGATTTCATCTTTATTTATTGCTGCCAAACTTGAGGTAAATAATTTTCAAATTTTTTTTATGTAGTACATGCTTTTCTTGAGATCCACTGAGATTAGGGGAAGGGATCAGCTATTAGTCTGTATAAGTATGAGTATTTAAAATGTTTAGGTTAATTTAATTCCTTTAATCAAAAAAATTGAACTTCTCCCTAAGAGGAGTAAAATTTTGGTGTGATTAGAAGGGTAGATGGGCCCAACTTTCAAACACATTGCTAAAGGTATTGAAAAGGTGAAATTTTAAAAACTCTTAAGTAAGTAAAAGGTTGATTGATTGATGAGGGTGAATGTTTCATTTCTTTTACAATTAATGCATTTTGAACCACTAGAGTAGTTCTTACATTTATCCCATCAATGTACCCTCTCTTTCTTTCTGTGTTAGCATACTAAAAAATAATTTGAGAGGTACAATATATAAGTTAAAACTATAAGAGATGGGCATTTTGCTAGTAGTATCTTCTTTTATTTCCTTTCAGGAAATCTATCCTCCAAAGTTGCACCAGTTTGCTTATGTTACAGATGGGGCTTGTTCAGGAGATGAAATTCTTACTATGGAATTAATCATTATGAAGGTATGTTACAAGTTAATTTTTCAGTCCTTTTCAAAAATACATACATAATATCTTTTCTACTTTCAGCATGAGTGCATCTGGCTAGGTGTTCTCCAGCTGGACACATTGTGGCAAGGGAAATGGCTGCGTTTTGAAACTCCTTTAGAGGGGCTTCTCTGGTGGCTCAGATAGTAAAGAATCTGCCTGCAATGCAGGAGACGAGGGTTCAATCCCTGGGTCGGGAAGTTCCTCTGGAGAAGGGAAGAGCAACCTACTCCAGTATTCTTGACTGAAGAATCCCATGGACAGAGGATCCTGGTGGGGTACAGTCTGTGGGGACACAAAGAGTCAGACACGACTGAGCCACCAACACTATAGAGGACCAAAGGGAATAGAAATGTCTTTTTCTTGTTTCAACCAGTGGTTTGTTTTCTGTTTTCCCATAGGCCCTTAAGTGGCATTTAAGTCCCCTGACCATTGTGTCCTGGTTGAATGTATACATGCAAGTTGCATATCTAAATGATTTGTATGAAGTGCTCCTGCCTCAGTATCCTCAGCAAATCTTCATACAGATTGCAGAGGTAAGTGGCTCTACTACCTCTGTGGGGCACCCTAACCCACCACTAGACTGAGTAACTCTAGAAGCGATACATGTTGGCATGTCCCTTAGTGTTCTGTTCTTCTCCATAGCTTTTAGATCTCTGTGTCCTGGATGTCGGCTGCTTAGAATTTTCTTATGGTGTACTTGCTGCTTCTGCCTTGTATCATTTCTCTTCATCTGAACTGATGCAAAAGGTTTCAGGTATGTTGGCTTTCCGGTCCATTAACAAGATATATGAAACTTACAAACCAGTTGTTCGTCTCAAATTGAGCGTAACATGTATTTTCATTGCAGGGTATCAGTGGTGTGATATAGAGAAGTGTGTCAAGTGGATGGTTCCATTTGCCATAGTTATAAGGGAGACAGGAAGTTCAAAACTTAAGCACTTCAGGGGAGTTCCTGCTGAAGATGCACACAACATCCAGACCCATATAAACAGCTTGGATTTGCTGGTCAGTACTGTTCCTTGTTTCCCTGACAAAGTCTTAAAACTGCCTGGGCAGCCTCTTCACTTTGCTTCACACAGGTTCCAGATAATCCTAAAAAGACTCCAGTTCTTTTTAATTTCTTGGAAAAGAAAAATTGGGATCAACAGATCCTATCTCTTAAGTATCATATAGACCACAGGCTTTTAGATTTTTCTTTGCTATTTTTTTTCCTTCACTCACCTACATAGGAAAAAGCACAAAGTAAGTGAAGCCCAGAGGATATATTCTTCCATTGTAACATTTCTATTTCTTGCTTTTATTCTTATCAACAGGACAAAGCCCAAGCAAAGAAAGCCATATTATCTGAAGAAAACAGGATTTCTCCTCTCCCCACTGGAGTCCTCACCCCCCCACAGAGCAGTAAGAAGCAGAGCAGTGGGCAGGGATCAGCATGACCACACCAGCACCCTCACCAAAGACAGCTGTGCAGAAGTGCCTGCTCCAGGTTCTCTCCTGTCCACTGCAGCAGAGGCGTGCATTAGCTTTTACAGATATTTAAATGGAAGAGCATGTCTCTTCCGTGACAGGTTTCTGTGGATGGCATTGGACAGGGAGAAGTGTTTTTTATTGAATGCTTAGATTTTTTTAATAAGTGGGTCAAGTACACCAGCCACCTCCAGAACACCAATGAGTGCTCCAGATGCTGCTAAGGAGGGTGATACTTGACTTGATTGACTATTCACACGAATAACAAAGGCTTGAAGTTGAAGCGTGCCATGTTGCTGTTGGTGTCCCCACGGCTGCTCTGGGCTGAGTCGCATTAAGTGGACAGGCAGTTGTGAGTGTTGTGATGTACAGCCCACCACCAGCTGTGCTGGGGGCCTCGCCTCTCCATACTATCAGTTGACAGTGTACAATGCCTTTTATGAACTATTGTTTTTGCAAGTGCTGCTATGTTTATCCGTTTTTTAATAAAGATAAAACACTGTCTTTGAGACAGCTGGTTTTATGAGCTATGTCTGGTAATTTAAGTTAGGAGTCAACTTTGAATGTGGCTGTATCAAGTTCTCTTTGTTAATTAACTTCATGCTTCTCAAAGCTCAAACCTTTCAAACAAATATATTAAAAGAAAACTTTTGAAGTGAGCTTCAGGTGCCAGCCTCACAGGCCTCCCAAGGGCCCCTGAGCTAGAATGAGGCTCTGATTGGCATCTTCCAACAATGCCCTGTGCAGTGGTGACTCCGGGTGGGCTCACTGGCTGGCTATGGTGATAGTAGTGAAGTCACATCTGCATCCAAGAGGATTCTTATGTGTGATTTCTTCCCAAGCACAGGACAAAGGTCATAAAGAATCTGTGATTAGTGTTATTTAATACTCTTTGCGTCCTTATCCAAAGCTTAACCTAAAGAATTTTTATTTGGAGAACTTGTTAATGTAGTAGCCTAAACTACTTTGAAGAAGAAAATGCAAAGTAAAATTACATGTAACTCAAGGCCGTGATGTTTGTAAAGTCTGTTCCCTGATCATTGATGGAATCACCAAGTGCCTTGCTAACAGAAGAGGTCACTGTCCACTTTAAGGCCCAAGGTGCACAGTTCACATCACATTTTGTGGGACATTCTCAAAGTGATGGCCTTGTCAAGTCTTATGTTTCATTTTCTCACAGTGTTTTGGTCTGTATGAGTTTATTAAGGGAGGGTGAATGAGCAAATAAATATCATTTATTTCAACTTGGCATTTGTTATTTTGCAAAAATCTCTGAAATGGAAAGAAAAATAGCCACTTGTAATCTACCATATTTATATGAAATTTGAGAGCGATCCTACTTTTTCAAATTGTGATGTTATAGTTCTGTCATTTTAATGCAGTTTTCTTAATAAATGCATTATAAATATACATGTGATGGCATTTAGCAAATAATACTTAGTAAATTATTCATCTCAGAGATACTCTTGCCTTTAAATTAGTGGGTTTTTAATGGTGATCATTTGTGACTTGAAAGTTCCTAAAAGGGGTTAATTTACATTTGACATTTTCTGTGCAAAAATATGGCACTAAATACATTTCTGTTTTATAAGTTTGAGAGTTTGGCAGATGTGAGGAAACATTGGCTCAAAAGCATGTTTAAGGTAAATACTTCATGGACTGGTGAGCCGTCATACTGCAAAGAGTGTTAGTTACTGAGTAAGCTGAGATGAGGTTGCCTTGTAAATTGTCAGAGTACTGTATTTCTGGAGATCGGTATTTTAAACGGCAGTGTTGCCACAGGCAGCTCTTGATAATCTGTGCTAATAAAGGATAAATCCCAGATGGATAGGTGAAATCCATAGTATCCAATATTTTCTAGAATGACTCTGCCAGAAATTCTCTAAGCCACTAGTAAGTAAAATCAAGTTTCCCCTCTTGAAGGAGCTTGTTCCAGTACAAACTTTGACCCCTCACTGGTTGGCTCTATACCCATTTGCCAGATCATATTTATTTTGCAATTCATCTGAAACCAACTGAGGCAATGTGATATCAAACAGATAGCAGGGGTGGAAGTGGCAGCTCTAGTCAGCCCTGGTGAACAAATGCTATGAGGCAAAGATGTGTCAAAGGAAGGACCCAGAGAAGGGAGGGGTAATTTATCAACCAATCATGAAGACTGATTCGATTGTGGTAGAGCACACCACATCCTCATGTCGCACCCGAACTCACAGAATTTACACAGCAGCCCTCATTAAAGCTGCTGTCACGTCTGTGGCCCCTGTGCCCAAGAAAGAAAACAGATCTTCAAGTGGTGGGTATTCAAGGTTTTCCAAGGCCATCCCCCATGTGTGGAACCTGGACAGCCTGTTTCACAGAGGTCATTTTATACCAGTGGGAGAATAAGATGCTGTCCTTCACCTTGACTTGTTCTTGAGACCAAGAACCAGTAAACAGAGTTGTGGGTCCATTAAGACTTAGAGCTTAGTGTGTGGATACACTTCTATTCTCCAACTCAGGCAAAATTAGGCTCTACCTCAGAGCAGGGATGGAAAGAGAAATCAAATCTGATAATGTCTAGTCATATTTATCCAACCGTGCATTTTCCTACCACATGTTTAGCATTTTGAAATTCAAATCACATTTATACCTTGGACATTGTTAGAAGACTATTTTTATCCCTGCTGTAATCATCTAATTTGCTGATTACAGGTCTCAAATTGCCACAGAGAACTCAATTTTTGAAAGAATTGTCCTGTTTGATCAAATATGTTATTCAAGCAATGCAGTCATTTGTTCCACAAGGTTACCTGCCAGGCAGAGCTAACCAGGAGTAATAGCATTAGAAGCCTATACTTAAAATCAAGCATTAGCTAATCTGCCTGTGACAATAGAGTCTTAAATATAATTTGTGGCAGATACTTTAGTTCCTGCAATGACAGACAATTGCATTTTGTATTCAATGAGCGTAAATTTTTCCTACCTCATCCCAATTTCAAATTTAACTTCAGAAGACTCTAATGTGCTCAGTTTCACAAGCTAACAGGTACTATTTCGCAAGAGCCTCAGACAAGAGGGCAATGCTGTCTTTTATTCAATAAACACTCTCTCTGCCCCCTCAAATAATTTTCCTGATCAATGCCAATTCCAAAAATTGTGTAGCATCTGAGTGTCTAATGCTGGCTTCCCTGGCATGATACAGTGAGCTGGCCTCCCATGGGAGCCCATGTTGTGTGCTAGGCTGTACTAACTCTGGAGATGAACGCACAGCGGGAAGAGTCCAAGAGCTCGGGAGAGCCTGGGAGACAGAAGAACAGCTGGAATTCGGAGGGCAGCGGTATGAAATGCAAGCATGGAGTGGAAGCTGTGCTTGTGCTCGGGAAGGAGGCTGTTGAGTCCTTCCAAGCAGTCCTGGAAAAGTGGAGTGGCAGGAGACAAAGGCAGATGAGGTGACAGAGGCTACATCACAAAGGGCTTCTGCACATTAAGCTCAAGATGGGGCTGACACCGCTGGCAGAAGAGCTGGTGTGAGGGGTGGAGAGTGAGGGCTCAGAGCAATGTGTGGACACAGAGGTTGAGAAAACAAGCCCAGAGTCATGCTTCTGCACCACAGGAAAGTGACTGTGCAGGAAGGCGATGGGGCATCGAGGAAAGTACCTTCAGCTGGCCCTGCGTGGGGGCTGCCCTGCATCACTCCCAGACAATAGCGATTTTGGCCTCTGCACCTCTGCAACCTCAGCCAGCTGAAACCTCATCTCCTTTCTGGATCTACACTGATGTCATTTCTTCATTGGGCTCTGGAGGCAGTTACCTGGAGCTGGGACCTTTCCCTGCCATTTTCACAATGTGATTTGGGGCACCATGCTTAAGTTCGCCAAGCCTAGTAATCCTCAGATGTGAAATGGTAATGATAATAACAGTCTTTGTTCCATAAATTAAGAGGGAGATTAAACGGGAGAATGCATAAAAAGTCTTAGCCTAGCACCTAGAACATTAAAAAGAAACAATAACAGACGGTTGCCCTTGCTATTATTGCTGCTGGTGGTGGTGGTAATACAAAGGCATGCTGTCAGACTGAGGCCTGAGCCGGGAGTAGCCCTGCAGTGCGGACTCAAGAACACATGGCACTTGCTCTGACGTGCTCTTAGCCTCCACAGGCTCCTCCCCGCAAGCCTGCCCCCTGGCCCTCCCCAGGCTTCAGCTCCATCTCGCTCCTACCCTTCCTGGGCAGCCTCCCGGAAAGTATCATATACACCTGCTCTCCCTCCTCCTTCAGGCTCCTCCAGTGGGGCTTCTGCCCCACTCACCACACACTACCCTGCCAAGGCCACCTAAGATGGCCACAGAGCAAAGCTAATGGCCATGTGGTACCCTTTAGCCTTCATCTCATGGGGCATCTTTGCCACACTTAGCACAGCTGACCCCCACCTTCCCTCCAGAAACCTCTGCCCTCCCTTGACTTCTCACACAGACACACTTGCTGGCCCCCTGGTGACCCTCCCTAATCCCACAGTGTTTCTTTCCTCCTCAAAGGACACCACCACCCTGAGGTCCAAGTGGATGATTTCCACACATACATTTAGAATTCTATCATTTACATTTGGATTCATAAGCAATAGATTTACAGGACCACTGCTTTGGGTGTTTTTAAAATTCACATAAATGTAATAGAACCTCACACATCAGGACTTTCCTGGTGGTCAGTGGTTAAAAATCTGCCTTCCAACACAAGGGATGTGGGTTTGATCCATGATCTGGGAAGATTCCACCTGCCTTGGAGCAACTAACCCTTTGGGCCACAACTACTGATGGGCCCATGCTCTACAGTCTATGAGCCACAACGAGAGATAGACCCCGCATGCCACAATGAATAGCTCATGCAGCCAAAACAAACAAACAAACAAAAAATCCCTTACACATCATAATACCACTTGCTATCTTTTTCAACATTATTTTCAACATTTACCCACGTTGATACCTGTAGGATAGGGTTTACTCATTTTCAACTGTGATAAGAGTTTGTTCTTGAATGAATATGCCACAGTGTATACCTTCTAGATGTACACGTGTAGGTTTCCCATTTTTTTCACCATCACAGACAGTGCTGCAGTCCACATCTTGTGCACACGTGTGCCATGTGTGTTAATTCCCTAGGGCACATTCCTAGATGGGGAATTGCCACGTCAAAGGGCATGTGCTGTTGCAACTTGCTAGACATGGTCAGTTACTTCCCCAAACTGTGCCAATTTATTCTCCCAGGTGAGGAGTGTGAGAGTTCCTGCCTTCCCACATCTGCTCCAGCCCTTTGGTAATGTCATCTTTTCTTCCCAGTAAAATTGCTATTATTTAACTTTGTTGGTTTTCCTATAATTACAATAGTGGAGCATGTTTGTTATAATGTTAGAATACTACAAACACATACAACATCAAAAGTGAAAACTCCCCAGAAATGCCATTCTGTTTTGGTGTTAAAAGAGTGTACATTGCTCCGGAATTTTTTCTGTTCATACAACTAACATATGAATAAGTGAAAATATTTGTTGTTTCCTTCAACTGTATCATCTCTAAGTAGTTTAAAATGCACATAAAAACTTGCTCTTTTGTTTTTATTTTTCAGTGGTGGCTTGCCAATTTATTTCATTGCTTAGCACATAATTTCAGGGTCTGGCACATTAAATATTTTCTCCATGTGTACATGGAGTGATTCTTACATGTATAATCACTTTCATTAAGTTTCTTCTTTTCCATGCCCAGGAGAATATACACTACCAACACTAAGATTGAAAAGCTAAACATCAACAGGAAAGAATCAGGCCTCTGTCTCTGTTACAGTCCTTCTCTGAGCAAAGGAGCCATATAGTTCCTGGGAGGGTTGCAAGAGTGGGATGACAAGCAAGTGCCCAGGCTCCAGTGCATCATCAGACAGGGATCATGCATTCTCCAGACTGTGGTGAAGCAGCCTAGCAGTGCCTTCCTTAATAGAAAAATAAAAGTGCAAAGTTAACATATCGTAACAGTCACAGCCCAGGTCATCCAGAAGGTTCTGTGTCTCCCTTGCTAAGCACCTAACCAAGCTATCTCTCGTTAAGACATGAGCAGTGAACATTTGATCTGTGTGAGGTAATGACTTGGTCTGAAGTGAGTCCCTTGGAGTTCTGTGTACCCCATCCCAGAGGCTGTGGGTGTCCCTGCAGCAGACAGGACAGATCTAGAGGTGCCATGTCAGGGCTGTGTCTCCTACGCTGGTGTGCCGGGTTTGTTGTGTCTGGGCTGCAAAAGGGGTTTGAAAACATTTGAGCCAACATTTAAAACTTGGGAGAGTTCACATACAGACATGGCTCCCAGAGCTGGGCAGCACCATCAGTCTGCAGAGAACTTGCGTTCCCACCATACTCCCTGCTGCCTCGCGGGACCCGCTGCTTTGATCTTTCCTTAGGTGACCCATGACTCATCAAAAGTGAGAAAACAGTATAGATCAAGAAAGTGGAATGTCTCAAGAAAAGTGGCAGAGAGGGCAAATTTCTCTCTGAAGTAAAGAGTATTTGAACATGTTTAATTTTCAGGACAAAATGTCTTGGTGTCCAAAGGTATGTTCTTTATCTGCCTGGCTCCCACAGGCAAGTTTCAGACTTCTGGATTTTATGGGAGAATCTCAGCTGGCCATCACTCAAAGGCATATAGGGCTTTTAGCTCATCATTTGCCTGCCCTGGGCCTCTGGTTCCTCACCCACCTAGCGGGCAGTGTGGCCACAGCACGTGCCTCTGAGGGGTTGAATTGCTTTCTGTTTCTCTTCAGACTCTAGTCTTCCAGGTGGTGATAAGAGATGGGCTTAGGGTATTTTCAGGTCTCAATCACACTTTAGGGAGCCACCCCCTACTTCCTGTCATGCAAAGGAGTTTCGTTTCTCTAGATGTCAGGAAGGCAAGAGCATGCAGCAGACGTCAGACTGGCAAGCAGGTGGCGGGAAGCCTCCTGGGGGCTGAGAGCTGCCTCACCTCCTCCTGGGCCTCTAGGCTTCCTGGTGACCTTCAGGGTGACCTTTGACCTTCAGCCCAGCTAGTGCACATCAAGGCCAGAGTTTGGGCAGGTGTGATTCCAGGGCTGCTGCCAGAAAACTGACCTCTACCCAAAGGCTGAACCTGAAAAGTTCCTGGTCCTGCCAGGTGGCCTGAACAGGGTCTTGAGTGGCAGGGACCTTGGGCCTCCCTCAGAAGCCTCGACCTTAGGGTGGGCTTTGCTCTTCCCTGAATGGAATTCTGCCCTGTGCTACTGGAAAATGCTCTCAATCTGCCTCTGTGATGGAGAAAACTGAGGCATAAGAAGACAAATTACCATGGAAAAGGTGAGTTTCCAGATCTCAGGAGTGATTTTCTGCACTGTTCATTTTAGCAGTGTCCAGGGCAGCGGAAAGAGAGGGCTTGTCTGTGGGTGAGATAGATGCAGAAGCCAATAAAGAATTTATGGGAAGCACAAAAGGCTGTCTGGATGGGTTTTATTAATTATATTTCTTTTATCCTCACAACAATGACACATCAGTAATCTACACTGAATATGCTCAATTGATGCTAATGATTTCATCCTTTTGTTTCTGTTTAAAAAAAGAGAAAAGGTCTGTCTGCCCAGTTAATCGGGCCCAGCATGAGCCTGGAGCCCAGCAAGGCCCTGGAAGGCCTCCTCTGGGCCCTTCCCCCATCATCTGCGCACCCTGGCTCTCCCTGGCGATGCCAACAGCAGTCCTGCCTGGTGATGGTCATTTGCTGTGTCCCCAGCCGGGCCCTGCCCCCATCCTCCTCCACCCTGCTTCTCCATAACTCCATGTACAGGTACTCTTGTGTGGGTAATGGGTCACCTGGGTGGTGACAGGCAGGGAGGGTGTGTGTGTGTGTGTGTGTGTGTGTGTGTGCACGCAGTATTTTGTGGTTCAGTCACTCAGTTGTGTCTCACTCTTTGCGACCCCAAAGACTGCGGCACGCCAGGCTTCCCTGTCCTTCACCATCTCTTGGAGCTTGCTCAAACTCATGTCCCTTGAGTCATTGATGCCATCTAACCATCTTGTCCTCTGTTGTCCCCTTCTCCTTCTGCCTTTCCCAGAATCAGGGTCTTTTCTAATGAGTCAGTTCTTGGCATCAGGTGGCCAAAGTATTGGAGTTTCAGCTTCAGCATCAGTCCTTCCAATGAATATTCAGGACTGATTTCCTTAAGGATGGACTGGTTGGATCTCCTTGCAGTCCAAGTGACTCTCGAGTCTTCTCCAACACCACAGTTCAAAAGCATCAATTGTTCGGCGCTCAGCATTCTTTATGGTCCAACTCTTACATCCTTACATGACTACTGGAAAAACCATAGTTTTGAGTAGACGGACTTTTGTCGGCAAAGTAATGTCTCTGCTTTTTAATATGCTGCCTAGGTTGGTCATAGTTTTTCTTCTAAGGAGCAAGTGTCTTTTAATTTTGTGGCTGCAGTCATCATCTGCTGTGATTTTGGAGCCCAAGAAAATAAAGTCTGTCATTGTTTCCCCATCTATTTGCCATGAAGTAATGGGACTGGATGCCATGATCTTTATTTTTTGAATGATGAGTTTTAAACCAGCTTTTTTACTCTCCTCTTTCACCTTCATCAAGAGGCTCTTTAGCTCCTTTTCACTTTCTGCCATAACGGTGGTGTCATCTGCCTATCTAAGGTTATTGGTATTTCTCCCAGCAATCTTGATTCCAGCTCCTGCTTCATTCAGCCCGGCATTTTGCACGATGTATTCTGCATATAAGTTAAATAAGCAGGGTGACAATATACAGCCTTGACATACTCCTTTTCCAATTTAGAACCAGTCCATAGTTCCATATCCAGTTCTAACTGTTGCTTCTTGACCTCTGTACAGATTTCTCGGGAGGCAGGTAAGGTGGTCTGATATTCCCATCTCTTTAAGAATGTTCCACAGTTTGTTATGATCCACACAGTCAAAGGCTTTAGCATAGTCAGTAAAGCAGAAGTAGATGTTTTTCTGGAATTCTCTTGCTTTATTTGATATACTTTAAATCACATCCTTCACCTAAGGGTTCTTTTTGAAGAAAGAAAAAAAGGAGGTTGAGTTGCTTTCCTCCCACAGTCCCTATCTCTTATTACTAAATTTTGTTGTTTTAGCGTAAGTTAGAAAGGGTCTATGTGCCAGGGGCATGGCAGTGACTGAAGTTGTCATGAATTATTTATTTGCCCATGTCTGCTGTCATCCTTCCACCTCAGAACCCAGGAGTTGTTGTCAGCAATGGCCTTGAAGAGTTTCCGCACTCCAGTGTGATAAACCTCAGTGTCTTTTTCTCCTTCCTCTCCTCATGCTACCCCATAACGTGCTGCTGCACCTCTGTCCCAGGAGAGAAGCCCAAGGAAAGCGTGCAGGTGATAAACAATGTTTTCTGTTGCAAATGAATGAGACAAATGTGCATACCTGACACCTCTGCCATTGTCTGAACACCAGCTTCACTAGCCCAGGATGCATGGGGTGGTGTACAAACTGCAGAGCCCTGTACCAGACCCTCAGCTGGACACCCCACAGAGGGCTTTCAGGATGGGCTTTGATGGCTTTCCTGCACATTTCCCACTGGCATGTGCCCTCATCCCCATGCCAGGTAGCCCTGGTTTGTGGGAAGACCCTAGAAGGGATCCCAATGTGGTCATATCCTCCTGTAGCTCAGGCAGGACAGTTGTGGAATTTCTAAGCAGGGGGCTTGAGAGTGCCCTGCTGCTGAAGGTAGGAGCTGTGGTATATCCTGAGGATGCATCTGCAACTTAGTGTTTATTGAGGTTGTTTGGAAGGAACTGACGGTGACGATGGAGGGGGTCAGAGCTGCTCTGGCTCCCATTCTCCAGCACTGCCAACCTCCTTCCTGCCGCATCTGCCTTTCTATCCTCCAGGGCCCCTCTTCCCAGGCAGTGGGGGCCAATTCACATAGCTGGTGACCCAGGCTGGCACCCTTGGTGGAGCCCACGCTGAGAGAAGACCAGTGCCGAGAGGCTGCTGGAGGGCCCCATGTGCTCACTTATGCCCAGCAGCTGCTGGCCTCTGGCACACTCCACTGCTATAAAAATATCAGCACTGCAGCCCCAGCTCCTGGAGAAAGTCTCAGTGTGACAGCCTGCAAAGTAATCCTACATTTGAATTTCATCTACAAATCCTGGTTTCCTCCAGACAAGCTCAAACCTGCACAGATGGCCCCTCACACCAAAAAGCAAAAATAACAGAAGCTTGCAATTCTGGGCCTCCCTTTTTCTCTGGACAGATGTGCTGCTGCACATTTCAGGAGGTGCACAGCCTGCTTATGGGCATCAAGCTCTTACCTCTTGAACAATTCTATTCACCCCTTCTGGTGTGCTGGTAGGGAGCAGTCATGGCCTGTCAGGGTGTTTCTGTTGTGCCTGGGCCTTTGGAGTCGGGCAGGGGGATCCAGGGTGGGGAGGAAGAGTGAAAATTCATCTCTCACTCAATGACCCATGACTGGCCACATGGCCATCCATGAGATGGGGCAGGGAAATAGTTGAGGGTTTTGAGTGAAAGTCGCTCAGTTGTGTCCCACTCTTTGCAACTCCATGGACTCTTTGCGACCCCGTGGACTGTATATGGCCATGGAATTCTCCAGGCCAGAATGCTGGAGTGGGGAGCCATTCCCTTCTCCAGGGGATTTTCACAACCCAGGGACAGAACTCAGGTCTCCCACACTGCAGGCGGTTCTTTACCAGTTGAGCCACGAGGGAGGGTTTTGAGGCAGTCAGTAAAAGTGGGGGCAAGAGGCTGCCATGCATGTCAAGGGCAGGTGTCAGGCTGGGAGAGAGGAAGCTCTGGGGGTTCCTGAATTTCTGAAATCCCCACCTTCAAATCCCAGCAGGCCACAGGAATTATAATTCCCATTAATTCTCTCCACCAGTATCTGCCAAGAGCATCTATGCTGGAACCTGAAGATACAGTTATAGACAACACAGACCTAGAGTGCACAAGGCCAGCAAACACAGAGTGAAGGTCACCTGTGGGCTGGGTGGCCACAGACCCACTGGTCAGGAAGGCCAGAGAAGGAGGCCAGAGCAGGGGGTCTAGAGAGAGGCCAGAGGAGGCAGGAGCCCCTGCTAGAGACACCAGGAGAGACACTTCTAGGCTGGGTCCACCTCTGATGAGTCATGTGACCCTGAGTACCCAAGGCTCACATTTCTTTCTTATCCAGAAATGATGGCTGCGGTCTTGGCTCCACCGGAGGGTCATATGACAGAAAGACAGTCACTGGCAAGTGAAACACAATTCAAACAGCCAGGAGAAAAAAAGAAATTCTTGGATACAGACCTCTGGATAGCCCAGGGACGTATTTAGCCTCAGGCATGGCATGGCTGGATCTGGGTGTTTGCATGCTGTCCTCTGGAATCTAATTCCATTGCTCAGCTTAGCTTTGTTCTATGCCGATCTCATCTTCCATGTGACATCTGCCAGTATCTCCAAGTTGATACTTCTACCAGCAAGCCCCTCCTCAATCTCTAGCCAAAGTCCTGGGGATGATTTTCATGGGTCCAGTGGGTTACATGCCTGTCTCTTCTCTAATCACTGTGGCCAGGAGGATGTAGTGCTCTGATTAGCCAGGCAGGAGCCAGCTGGGATGGAATCAGTGCCATGTGAACTACCTGGCCTCACAGAAAGGGTTGAAGGGATGCTAGTGTGGAGAAAACAGCAGTAAACACAGAAACAAATAACAAAACTCTCCCAAACAATGGTTGACAGCAAAGATGTGAGCATGCTCTGAGAGCGCTGCAAAAATCCTGCTTTCAACAATGTTCATCTTACGGTAAGTGTGGGGCCACTGTCATTCAACTCTTCAGCGCCCTTGACTCCACAGTGCTGGCCTCTGTGCCAGGTCCAAGATGCAGGGAAGGTTCTAGACACCCCTGTGGGGAAAGCCTGCCCCACACCTGGTCTCAGGGTAGGAACAGCCTAACACTGAAGTCTGCTTCACTCTCAAACCCTGCAATTTTCCTCTCTGGTGTCTGCTAGGTTTCCCTGTGTTTTACTTCCATTTTCCTCTTCCTTAGACCAGCACCCAAGATCCCCCATCTGGCCTGCAGTAAAAAAGACAGAGATTAGGAGGGTCCTCACTAGCCAAAGCACCTAGCCTGTGCCTCTTGGGCACAAAGCGTTTGTTTGCCACCCAGAAGACCACTCTGCATAGACTTGCCCCCCTTAGTAGAATAAAGGCATGAATCCAACATTCCACTACAGTTCAGGGAGGCACCATCGAAACAGGGGCAGCCAAATATGTGTGGCCCTTGGTCCTGGGGTGGGGGTGGGGAGAAAACAAGTAGCATTATCAGAGACAGACATGCTGACGCTGGCTAGTAGGTAAGTGAGCTGGGAGGAGGCAAATAGAAGGCTTCAGTTTCTGGGTCACCACACAGGCTTGTGTGACTGTCCTGACATGTCTCAGGGACTGCATCAGGGCAAGTGGCTGTTCCATGGTGCATTCACAGTACCTTCCATAAAAAAGATCTTTGGAGAAGAACTGACTTCAAGGGTTGGATTTTGATTCAGACAGCAAGAAAGCCGAGTTCTTAGTCCTGGCCTGAGTGCTCCCAACAGTGTGCACGGCACTGTTGTTAAGGCTCTAGTTTAGTCATTTAATTCTCCCACAACTCTATTTCAGACAAAAGGGTTCAGATAGAGGGAGATTCAGCAACTTGTCCAAGGTCATGGGGTTAGGGAGGAGGCACGACAGCGGCTGGTTTCAGGGTTCGTGGCTGCACTGCATGAAAAGCCAAGGCCTGGTTATTCCATTAACCAGTTTACATGAACCCCCAAACCAAACGGAAGGTTGGGGCCCAAGTATCTGCTTTCTGGTACCTTGGGCCCTATGATGGCCCCTACGGTGCACTGGCTTCAGGGCCCTGGGAAGAGCGCTTGTCACCACCCCGCCTGGAGCCGGGCAGCCCAGCTCCTGTGCCCAGGACACTCTCTTTGAAGAACCCTGCGCACTCTGCCCGCCCCTCCCAGGCCACCCCGGCCCCCTGGCGGCCACCGACTCTGCGAGCGGCGCTCCAGGTCACGCGGCGCGGACGGAGGAGGAGGAAGAGAGATGGAGGAAGCGGAGGAGGAAGAGGAGGAGAAAGGACGGAGGAGGGCCTGAGTGGAAGTCGGCTCTGGGAAGGAGCGCAGACTGCTCCCGAGTGCCCAGCGCGCCGATGCAGGGGGCGCTGACAACCCCCCGGCTCAGGCAAGAGAAGGGTGGGCCAGAAGGAGGGCCAGAGGTCCCCTCCAACTTCATCTCCTCTACTCCGACACCCTGGCGGAAGCTATCGTGACGATTCGCTGAGCGCCGCCTCTGAAGGCGGGCACCGTTGCTACCTCATTGTACAAACTGGGAATCTCAGACTTCAAGGAGTGCCCTAGGCCAGCACCAGCCCCAAGGGGAGGGAGCAGGACGCCAGGAGCAGGATCTCGGCCCCTGCACAAAAGAGCCAGGCTGCCTGCATCGGGACCTTGGATGCACCACTTTCTGACCACATGGCTTTGGAAAATATTCTTAGCCCCTGAGGGCTCCGCTTTCCTCATCTGGGAAATGGGATAGTGCCTACCTCACCGGGTTATCAAACGTTTATTACCGTCCTTTAGACCAGGGCCTGACACTGCTGAGCCGACCTCGGTGTCTGCCATTGCTAGTAGGAGTTTAGCTGAATGGAAGGAACTGAGCCTCAGAGGGGCGCACGCGGGCCTGGGCCTGGCCTCTGCTTCCCAGCCTACGGGACGCGCGCCGCGGCAGCCTGCCCGACCCCCTCTGCGAGCAGCTAGCTGACACCACCTTCAGGGCTCAGGCTGCGCTCCACGTGCTGCGTGTTTACCCACGTGATGCCGACCCGCCCACCGTGCCCGGGCCCCGCCCCCGCTCCCGCCCCTCTGAGGCTACTGGCTCGCGGCTGAAAGCTGTCGGCTACGGCTGCTCCGCGCCGGAGACACTGAGCGCGACCTGACGCCGACCCGATGCCTGCCCAGGAGACAGCTGACTGCTCACTCTTTAGACACGCCGGGCGCGGGCGCTGCGCTGGATCCGCACCGAAATGGGATGAGCCAGGGGTCCAGTCCAGCGCGGAGGCTCTACGGAGTGCGCCCCATGGAAGGGGCGGGACCGGAGCTACTGGGGGCGGGCCCGTGGGCGAGGGCTCTTCAGAGTGCGCCCTGCGGAAGGGGCGGGTCCGGGGCGGATGGGGGCGGGTCCGGGGCGGATGGGGCCGGGCCCGCGGGCGGGGCCCTTCCTGCGCAGGCGCTCCTCCAGGTCGGGTCCGGGGGCGGGGCCGTCCCGGGGGCGTGGCGGGCCCTTTCAGTGCCTCGGCGCCACAGCTCCGGGCTCTAGTGCTGGTCGCAGTTTGCTAGATCCTTCCAGGAGAGGTGGAACTCGTTGAAGCTCGGTCATTAGCGGAAGTGCACATTCAGCCCCAGATTCCTCTACAGTGTCAGTAGAGCCACTCCCGGCTCCTTGGTTTTGTCCCCTTGACTTCCTCAGCCGGCCTTCCTCCGGTCGCCTCGGCGTCCGCTGCCGCTCCGCGGTTGATGTTGCACAGGTCTCCGGCCTCAGAACCGCTGGTTTCTAGGCTGTGACCCGGAGACTTGGTCCACTCTCTGGCTTCAACTTCCACTGCTGTGCGGGTAATCCGATAGTTCTACCAGTAGTTAGCACACACGTGCCAGGCACTTTTGTAAGTGCTTTGTGACTTATTCACCAATAACCACTTGGACGCCTACACCTAAATCTGTTTCACATCCGAGACCACTGCCTTCAGCTCCATATCCTTACATCCAGATGCCCACTCGACCCCTCACTGGAGGTTCCACAAGCCTCTCTGAATAAACACATCTGAAGTGGAACCTACCGTTCCCTAAATCTGTTTCTCCCCAGATCTCCCGCTCAGTGAATAACATCGCCATTCCCCTAGTCACTGAACAGGGCTTGAGTTCGGTTTTTCCTTTTTTTTTTTTTTAATTTAGATTTCACATATAAGGGCTCTCATACAGTATTTGTCATTCTCTGAATGACTTGTCTCACTTAGTCTAATGTCCTCAAAGTCCATCCATTTTGCCAACTATTACTGTCAAACCATCATCAACATAGAAAACAGGAGAACCAACAAGCTAATTAACCTAATAAAAGAACTGAACAAAGGTAACTTTATAAAATCAGAATATAAAGCCAACAATGGGTCCCTCAGCGATAATAATACACTTCTTGAAACTGTAATAAAAATAACTTGCATGATACTGAACTATTTAGGAATTCACCTAACAAAAAATGCACAAGATCTTTAGGACACTAACTCTAAAATTCAAATATATAGATATCTAAAAGAAACTTGAATACATAGGTAAATAATGGGATGTCTTAACGTTGGAAGGGTGATCTAAATATTCAACACAATTCCAGTAAAAAAAAAAAAAGAATTCTAGCCTGATTGTGTTGGAACTTGAGCAACTGATTTTATAATGTATATGGGAGAATAAAGGTCCATGATAGGCTAAGAACAAATGTGAAAAAGAAGAACAAAGGGAAGGTCTTGCTCTACAGGCATTAAAACAGATTACAAGACCAAGTAATTAAAATATTGTGATATTGATATAGAAACAAATAGATGAATGGAATAGTTTGAAATGCCCAAAATGAATTCATTTATATAACTTGGTATGTGATAGAGAAAAAAATTACAAATGATTAGAGAAGATCTAAATTATTCAGTAAATGGTTCTGGGAATATTGATTTTTTTTCCATAATGCAGAAAAAATAAAATTGGATCCCTACCTTAGACCTTATACATAAACTCTAAATCAATTAAATATCTGGTTGGAAAGGTAAGAATGCTAATAATGCTCATAAACTAGAGCATAGGATAAAATCTGTGTGATAGCAAAGGATTTATCATTACTCAGAAGCTTAATCCCTGAGGAGGAAAATGGTGGATTTGATGACACCAAAATGGGAAATGTCACTTTACTGTAGACAAAATCAACATATAGGTGATGAGATAGGAGAAGACATTCTTCATGTCTTAAACCAACATATTTATATTCCAAGCTGTAACTAGAATAATCAAAGAACTCCTAAAAATCAGTAAAAAAAGGAAACTGAATTTTTAAAAAATGGGTGAAGGATATGAGTAAGTCATTCCCAGAATAAATCAGATTGGCTAAGGTGTTCAAGAGGCTTACCCTCACTGGTGATCAGAGAAAGGCAAAGTAAAGGAAAGAGGTGCCGCATTACCCCAGCCAGCTGACTTGTCTCAGCGGGTCATATCGCCTTAAATGCTGCCATGGAGGGATGGGAAAAGTATGCGGCAGATGTAGTGTAATTAAATTTGCAGTTACCTTTGCAGGGCTCAGACCAGGGTGAGAAAAGTGAAGCCCTCACTGTGCCGGCCAACCCTCCCCTGCCGGGCTTTCTTGCGTGTGCACTCTGGGTGCCTTACTGCTTCCATCTGGTCCCAGCCTTGTACCTATGGAGTCGACAAGCCCCATCTCGATGTGTACCTAGAGAAACTTGCTTAGGAAAAGTATTCCAGTCCACTTAGCCAGCAGTTATGTAGGATCCCCGAAAGGGGGAACTGAACAAACAGTATTCGGTAAGTGAAGATAGTGACAGGGTCTTCCACGGGGAGGAGGAGTAAAACTGAGAGCAAGGAAGAGGGCTTCCATCCACCTTCTCACAGTGAGGCAAGACCAGGATGACATCTGTTTCTGTCTGGGAGGGTTTGTAGGTCTCTGGGCCTTTGTCACTGATGCTCCTGCCCCTTCCACCAAGTGTTGCATTTGGTCTTGGCAGGGGAGAGAGAAAGTTGGAAGTTGCTCTAGGGTTACCTGAGAAGGATTAGGCATGTTTTCACTGTCACATAAAGAAAGAGAGGCCAGAAGTTTCAGGATCTGGCTTCTGTGTTGAGGCAGAAAAGATCTAGAGGGTAAAGCTTGGACTTTGGGGTTTATGTACATAGGTTCTAATCCCTTTTCGACTTTCTATGGATGTGAACTTGGGCAGAAAACACAGCATAGTGAACTTCAGGTTTGTTCCCAGTGAGAGAGGAGTAAAAATAAGGCTTAACATAGGAGTCCAAGGAGAGAAGTTATTTGAAACCTATTTGCTTCTCAAACAGCATGGACAAGTGAGGATTCTTTAGGGTCTTTACCACACTTTTCTCTTCTCTGGATAGCAGTCTGGAGGTCTTTCAGAAGCCAAGGGCCAGGGAATGTACTTCAGTGGGTGACAAATGGGATCATCCATCAAATTCAGATATTTCCATCTCAACCCCTCAAGACTTTAAGCATGAGGTTGGGACCAGCACTATTTTGGATGTTGCTCAGCTCTGGAAGCTTTGGAGCAGCCCCCATGTAGGAGCTGGGCTCCTTACCCCAGTCCACCTCTCTGACAACTCTCACTTCTAAGAACTGGATTTTCTTTTTTTATATTTAAATGAGAGAGACATATTGCAAAGTAATAATATCAATAAAAATTATAATAATCAGCAGTGCCCTAGCCCAACTGTTGTTAGCATCTGTGGTGAATGTCGCTGTTTCTCTATTTAGCCTTCCTTCCTCCTGGTAACAGTTCCCTATTTTCCACTGGGGAACCAATCCTCTTGTTCTCAGACTGTGGGATTTGAGTTGTGTTCAGTCCAGACCAGCTCTGCAAGGCCCAGTACAAAATGGAAGTGCAAGGTCTCTCATTCAAAAATTCTTAAGAATTTCAAGATGCCACAGCAGAGCATTCAACCACACTAAGGGTTCTATGAGGCTGCACCCCTGAAACCAGCCCTGGGATGGGTGCATGACTCACGTTTTGCCAATGAAAATAAAAACTTTTGCCAGAAAGAGGCTCTCACTTTCTGCTTACGTTACTAGATCAATAAAAAGATAAACCTGGATCTGTTGACTGCCATCCTTGTCTCCCAGGAGGAGAGCCCTTGCTGGAAAAACATAGTCCAGAAAGAGATGGACTTCTGGTCACATAATGTGAGATCCTTCAGCTTCAGCTCTCAGAAGCACCAGTCATTTCATTCTGTCTTGGGCTTCAACTAGTTTGAGATACAGCTGAGAATTGAAATTCCTGGAACGTTTCATTGCTTCTATGCATATTCACTAAGTTGTAGGCATAAGGCACATATAGTGTTATATGCTTTCTATAAGTTACATTTTAAAAAAAGACTTCCCCCACTGGTCCAGTGATTAAGACTCCACACTCCCCAGTGCAGGCGGCACAGGTTTAATTCTGGCTGGGGAACTAAGATCCCGCATGCTGCATAGCATGGCCAAAAAAAGAAAAAGTTACATAATACCATGAACTTTTTGGTGTTAATAGAGTCTTCATAGGCTGTATATTCCATTCCCAGTTGATGGCCCTTTGATTATTTATAGGTTGGTGCTTTTAAAAATACTCTCGTGATAAAGATGTCAATGCATATAGTTTGGGGAGAGCATTTTTTATGTGGCATGATATGCCTTTCACGTGGACCCTACCTAATTATGAAGTTTCACTAGGATTTGGAATTTCTGCAACAACCCAGGTAGGAAGGATGATGTAGGCTAGAAATAGCCGGCTGTTTACAGCCTTGGACACAAACTCCCTGTGGGGTTGATCTGGAAGGGTGGTGTGTGTGAAGTAAGCACAGCCCTTGAGCTTTGAGTGAAGGGGCAGACTTTCCCTGGAAATGTTCAGGGGCATAGCCACAGGAAACTTTCATCTAGTCCAACCTCCTCCTGTCATAAATTGAGAAACTGAAGGCCAGACCAGGGAAATCAGCAAGGTAGTGCAGAACCAGGCTTGGAACCCTGTCTTCAACATTTGGATGCTCACTTAGGGCAAGCACTTCTGAGCCTTCTTGACACTAAATAAATGACAATCCTGATTCTTGAAGGGATTGCAAACCCCCAGTGACCCTATGTGCGCTAAGACACTTCAGCCGGGTCTGACTTTTTAGGAACCCATGGGCTGCAGCCCGCTAGGCTCCTCTGTGCATGGGATTCTCCAGGCAAGTATACTGGAGTGGGTTGCCATGCCCTTCTCCAGGGGATCTTCCTGACTCAGGGATTGAAGCCACGTCTCTTACGTCTCCTGTGTTGGCAGGTGGGTTCTTTACCCCTAGCGCCACCTGGGAAGCCCCCTGTGACTCTGGACACTATGTAAACTGAGAAGCCTTCAAGTGTTCTTTAAGCTCAGCTGGTATTAATAACTCAACTCCACATCCTCTAAGTCCATCTTTCTGCCTGCTTCATAGCCAGTCCTAAAGAACAGCCGTAAGCACAAGGACCACGCTTCCTTATGGACAGGTGTGCTTTTAGTTTGCTTTGACTGTTGCGTGGAGCTCCATCCTATACAG